TATTTTTGAATCATTCATGTAATTTCATTAATACACATTGCTTAACTAATAGTAAGCGTGAAATATTACCAAATATAAATATGAACGTACTTTGTAATACAAAAATAATTAATATTAAGTATTACAAATATAGAAGATCGCCCCTGTTCGTTTAACATTTCGATGACTTTGCTGTCAGATTGTTAAACATGAAGTAACAATAGACTAATCGAAGTAACAAAACGACTAATTTTATGAATTATTGATTACTATCAAAGAGAAGTTCTGATTAATTCTTTTTTCTCTATTATAAATAAATATTAAATTCTCAACCGCTATTCGCAAAAAATTGGACATCATGTAACCATTATCTACAACTAAACAAACGATTTGAATCAAAATTATATACTTTTAATATATATGATTTTTCTATAAATACAAATTAGTGATTAAGATAAATTGTTGGTTAATGTTAAAAAATGGATTTGTAATATAATTGATATATAGATTTTATTTTCTTATCTATTGAATCATCTGCAATGGTTCAACTAGTGTACGTCCAAAATCCCAAGCCAATTATTCTCGTTTCAAAATAGTAACAAGAAATACAAAAATATATAGTTCATAACCATACAATTGCGTCTTTCGAATTGATATTCCGCGCGCGCCTTTTATTAATATATTGCTTTATATTATCCATTTCTTACTTTCATATAGCAACATTTGAACACATAAATCAAGCAGCGAAATAAAAATCGAGCCCATTTTCCAGAAACTGTAGCGCATGCATTATGCAGCACCCTCCACATTATACGCAGTTTTTAACTTCAAAATAAACATTAAGCGATAAATCCAACAGCATTACGCTGGAGCACAACTCCACTTAATTAAATGTCGTTTTAGCTTTCGAGTAATGACCAGGAAGGATATTACTAGATATGTAGAAACTAGATGAACGTTTTCAGAAGGTGCAATCTGCAGTGCGATTGAGCTAATGGAACTAAGCTTGTTTTGTTTGTTAAAGCAAATAGCTTTTGCGATTTTTTGAACTGCGCAAAAGATGGAACTGTGCAGCGGTATTAAGTTGTAACTTTTGCGCAGAATTTACGATTTGCGTCCCGCCAGAAATGATGATGATAATAATAATGCTGATGGAAAAAGGAAGAGCTTTTATTAAGTGTTTACGATGCGCCGCGAATCGCGGTTTCTCCACGAAAACCCGGCATCTCTCGAGATGCAACAATCGCAGGGCTTATAAATAACTCGCTTGGTGGTGGTGGTGCTGTTGCTGCTATCCGTTTTATCACTTAGACTAGGTCCGATTAATTGCTTGTAACTGCGTCGGTCGCTCGCCTATAACTAATTGTATTTATCGGGCATCCGTCCATTAAATACAATCCGTTTACGAACAGCCAGTAACCTAATTAATTCTTAACTGATCAAATACAAAATCCATAATCTGCTTCATTATCCTTGCATATCATTATTCTTATATAGAAACAAATAGAACGTTAAATATTTATTCTATTCTAAATTCTATTTTTCTTTAACAGCTCCACCTAATCCTATAAGACTTATAGGATAAGTCATTGACTATAACAGAGTCAAGAAGTCAATCACAAACAGTTGAACATAAAAATTAATATTTCTTCATTTCTATTTATCACTTGACATTATTATCTACAGAATTTTATTATCTATATAGCAATCACTTTGTAAGTAGAAAAGTTGTATTCATAAACTAACAATTTGTTTAATATTAAAATATTTAGTAAATATGTCGAAATATTTAAGAATGTATCAATTGTAAAGATTTGAAATATTAAATATTGAAAATATTTTTTTTATCATAAAACATTGTATGGTACTCATACAAAAACTCTCGCACCAAGTTTGAGCTTATTTCTTCCATAGGTATGGAAACTAGGAAGTCATCTTTATCTTCATTTTCTTGTTGCTCGGCATCAGACTTTTCCTGAATGTCTTCGTCAATTTCATTATTTTCATGATGTAAAACAGGCAGACAAAAACATACAGAAATGTCAAAGAGCTTGAAGATGGTTGTTTGATTAAAAACCACACAAAACTTTCGTATGTTTTTGTAAGTTCATAAAGGTTATACTTTACATTTCAGATAAATTAATGTCAAAAATATTCTTTGTATAGAATATTTATATTGTATCTAATATATATTTGAGGCTATAATCTGCCACCGTGCACAGCACAATAATAACCGTCAGCCAGATATGAAAAGATTCAAATATGTTAGAAGTTAGTGACGAAATATCTTTGCAATGATTTGTAGAGACTACATCTAGTGTTTTATGCTGAAAATCGTTATTCAGTTATAAAATAGAACGTTTTAGGAATACACATAGAATTTTGATTTAATACATATTTTTGTGCACATGAATTTAAAAATTAAACTGATATTAAAATGATTCCATTAAATAATAAGAGCTTATTAGTATGATTAAACACAAACTATTAATTGTTATTTTAATAGTTTCTAAATTTTTTATTTTATGGTATAAATAACAAAAAATCACCAAAAAAAAAACATTATTCTTTTCTAAAATCATGATTTTTGTGCGAAAAGTAAGAAAGGATAAAATTGAATCTAAAATTTGAGAAATATGTTTCACACGAAAATGAATATAAGAAATTAGCAGACTATTTTAGTTCGGATACAGAAAAGAAAATTTTCTTGACGAAGAGTCAGATGCACCTGAAGCAAAAGTCTTCAATAAAAAAACGATTTGAATCATTCAATAGCGTCTTGAAACCGTTTAACATTTAATGCTGTTATAAAATGAAGGACAAAGAACTAAAATAAAAATGTAAAAAAATATTAAGTAACAAATAATTTAAACACATTGTATTGGAAAAACTTGAGTACTGACTATAGTACTGACGTTAGTATAGCAGACACTACTTTGAAGTAGATTTATAATGACAACTTTGAAGAATTTTACCAAAATGTACTGATTTCATTGTGAGTTCTATTTAATTTACCTTTTCCAATTGCTGAGAGTGTGAGAACCTTTTCTTAATTAAAAATTATTAAAAAATATCTGCGATAAAACATAAACCAGAAAAAATGAATGGTTTGGTAATAATTTATTTGAAAATAAAATGAACATTGACAAATTATGAGTGCAAGTTACAAAAATGAAAGCCTTATTCTTTTCATATAAATAAATTTAAATATGCGTAGTAATATAATATTAGTTTATTTTTTTGAAGAAATTGTAGACTCTCATGAACACCTAACATTTTTCGCACACACACATAATAAAAACACAAGTCGGGTCTGAATATAATAAAATATATTTCCAAATGATTGAGAAAATGTTTGTAATCGATCGTTATAAGATAAACGAGGATCTCACCTCCGAAATCGATATCTCCGTAGGTGATTTACCCAATAAAGCTGTTCCACATGGTGCAGGTAATAACCATAGGTGGGCGTTGGGATTCGTGTGGTTTTTATATTGCAATATCCGAACATGATAATATTAACATACATCAACAGTTTCTTTAATTTTAAGTATATGCATTTAAAGTAGACTATTTTAAAGTTTAGTAATATGAAATAAAATTAAGTTAATGTTTAGATTCTACATTTTTATTAAATAAAACACTGTATTTCTGAGATTTCTTGTAAACTTCCCACCTACATTACGTGAAGAGAATTAACTCGAATAATCACTATTATTTTATTGAAACTAAATAAATTTATTTAATATTTGTATATAAAACTGTAATATTAATAAAAATAATTTCTTGAACAAATATACATAACAACAATTGTATATAATTTATAAAAAAAATATCTTTAAAAGTATAGTTAATATAATTAATTATACACATATTTTTATCAATATTTATTTTATTTAATACATTTTCTCATATCAATATAATATTGGTGAATATTTACTGAATCTAATGCTATGATTGTAGATACTCTTGCTTGTAATCGATCGATTTTCATCATTGCTCATGAACTTAATGAAAACCTTTAAAACGGTTTTACAATAGTTTTATAAATGAAACAATCAAATCTACTCAAATTACACTAATTGAAAATTAATTTGCACATTCAGTGATCTAATTATGGTTTGTGGTCTTCAAGTAATTAATTAATTAGTTAGGATATTTTTTTTAAGCACGAATGTTCATGCTAATTTTTGACATCTTATAATAGAATATTGGTGCGTACTACAAAATTGACAATATTCTCATTGAAAAATTAGCAAGTTTCTTATTACCTTTTCACAGCTTTTAACAGAAGATCAGTGCATATCACAAAATTAACTATATGGTCATTAGAAAGGCTACAGTTTTATCTTTGCATCTTAACTGAGTTATTCAATAAAATGATTAAATTGAGGAAATTAAATACAGTGGAACCTTGGTTTGCAAACATAATACGTTCCGGAAACGTTCTTGTAATCCAAAGCACGTGACGCTCGACAGGTAAAGCGTATAGATAATACTTTTGTATTGAAAGACCTCGCTCGTCTATTAAAAAAATGGTCTTCTTGTAAATTTCTCGCAGAGAAAGTTAATCGCAATAGCATAAATCCTACGTACTAAATCTGAAGAATATTTAAATTTAAAGAAGTATAAGTTCACAAATCAATGAAAATTAGTACAATTAACAATAAATATTACAAAATTTATTGTGAAAATGTCACTACTTTTTATTATCACTACATTTACACAAAATTCTACAGCACTTAAAGTGTTCAACTATTGTGATATTATGTTTCTTAACTCTACTTCTCATTAATTCAAATATAAATATTAAAATAGCGATAAGAGTACCATAGAAGAAAATGATAATAGCTTGTTCAATATCATAGATACCTACACTTTCGAAAGCAATAATTTCGCCCGAACATTGAGGTTTCTTAGTCAGGCGACCGAAGTGTCGACGATATAGACCATTCTCTAACGTTTTATGCATTCTTAAAACATTAATATTAGTTGAAAACATTAAAAAAAATCATCAATTCTTACGCAATTCGAAACATTTTTCTGAATGGGGTGCCTTTCGGTAACGGATTATATCCGATTCCGGTTTTCACAAAGCCGATCATCTCTTGCAAACTACACAATTCGCGCTCCGTGTAGTATTTGGTAGCAAGATTATACAATATCAACACCTCCCCGAAAATAGCTGTACCACCTTGACGCAGCTTTTCAACGCAATTCTCCTTCGATACAAATGGACTATCGTAACCGATTTTTAACTCGTAAAATTGGTTCAAAAACTTATCTCTTGTCCCCTATATCAATATAAATCTAATATATGCCGTTTTATTAAAATATAAACTTACACTCAATATGAACTTCATGTAAGAAGTATTATGAGCAATGACTTTGAATCTGCTGTTGTAAAGATCCTGGATAGAATCAAATTTCTTGGTGGTCTGCAATAAAACAATTATATTCGCGGAATAAGAGATATAGATAACCATCAGAGCTGTGAGTCCAAAGAACATCAGGATTTGATAGGAAAGACTGCGAGGCTCGAACATGGTTCCTTGCTGACATAGCATTTCCAAATCTAACAATACTGCATCAGAAACAGTATATTTATCTTTAACAAGTTCCTATAACAAAAAATATTAGTTTTTCGAAAATTCAGAAGAACTGAACAAAATGTTTGTACCAGTTTATGAATTACAGCAAATTTAAGAACCAAATAAAAACCAATTCCTAAAATGGCCAACAAACCAAACAGAGCATACCAAAGCTGCTTTTTAAATGAAACAAAGAATATGTTCTTTACGTTCGATAACGGCGCTTTTCTATACACAAAAATAACTTCTAAAGGATTCAGCATAGTGAGGAAATCGACTACACTTAATCTGTTCGTGCTGAAAACCATCGACGATCCTATAAAAACGTTAAACTTTCGTGCAAATCACATGAAATCCAAAATGATCTTACCACCAAAATCAACTTCGCCGGTCATAATTTGTCCGATCAGTCCGTTCCACGAATCGGTTTCTTTTATGTAGTAACCATACGTGTTCGTACGAACTAAAGTTACTGACATATTACAGTAATCGAATAGAGTGGAAACTGGACCGATCGTTTGTTTAGAGAATAAATCTATTTCTGGATATCTGAAAAATACTTTTTTTTCTCTAAATATTTATAATTAATTAATTTAAATTACCTGAAATCATATAGGTGATTCAGAGTGTTCAAATCGTCTAAGACTATACCGAATTTGAAAGGAAGAAATTTGAGATCTTTTCTTCTGGTAGAGGTGGGCAACAATTCCATGCGATTCCATCCAGATTTTTCACTCCATCTACCACCATATTCTAAAACTGAATCACAAGTTTTCCAATAAATTTACTAAAAACTTAAATTGATTTATAAGATAAATTTCACATAAAGCAGTAATTAGTTTGTTTAAACTTAATAGTGTCAAACATGAAAATGAAGTGTAAACTCTTCTGATTCTATTAGAAGTTAAATTAAACTATAATTAACATGTTATCAATATTTTTCAACATTATTATATTTATTTTAATCATTTATTATAATTTATTTCCTTACTCATTTCCGTATCATTTTTAATTTTGTATGGTGAATAGAGTTTGTAATCTGTTAAACTCCGACGAGCTATCCAAACCTCATTGTTAACAAACAAATTGTACATTTTAATCTCCTCCAGGAAATCGGAGAATTCCACTTCATTAATAATAAGCAAGTATCTTTGAAACAGTCTCAACATATTATGTTCATTGGCCTGTAACAACGTAGGTATAAATAAAATAGGTAAGGTAGAAAAAAAACAACTCACGAATTTGAAGAGATTCCAAGAACTTTTGCAATTCTCCATGTCGATTAGAAAGCAATTATTTACATCCATGTAGCGAAAGAACACTTCCATATTTGTCGTTTGATTTCGATACAGACATATTTGTCTTTGGTGTGAAGATTTTAAAGAGTCTATTAGAAACTCTCTTGATTCACCTACATAAGAAAAATTAAATTTTTGTATATGAAATCAATACATGCAATATTTATCATTCATTTATATTTTATTTCATATTTTTGTTCGTATTCTTATATAATTAATGCAATAATAAATATTTTATAATTTCAAAACAAACTGAATTTTAATTGACTAAATAAAAATAAATTCTAAAAAACAAGTCACTTTTTGTGCTGTGTATTTTTATGCCGATTTGAAGTCCTCGATTAGTCCGGTTTCATTTTGTTTTAGCTTTAAAACTTCCATCTTTTTGCCGTTTATATTATTTTCTAATAAGTATTAAATACTTTCTATTGTAAATAAATCTTCCCAGTTATAGTCGAGTATTATTTGTATTTGTCCTCAGTTGGTAAATAATTTGGTTACAAATCCAAATTAGTGAAATACTTAAATTATCAAATATCAATTTTTTATTATTTTATTTACCGTAATTCCAACAAACGTGTGCTGTTATAGTGCAAATTTTATCTGAGAAATATTCTTTAATGAAAGTTAGCTTAGAGGCTTCGATTAATGAAATAAATTGAACGCAAATTACGGTAAAATATTTTAAATTCATTCTGCTGATATATAATAATGTGTACTAAAGAAGCTCGAAGACATACTGAAATATTGTATAATTTTTGGTTCAGTTTTATATTATTGTTGAAGCATAATTGAAGCATTGAAAACGTATGATTTTATGGAAGGAGAAAATTGCTCGGCAAATTGGACTGAATTGGAGATATATTTAGTGGCAATTTGCTCATAAATCGGAAATTGCTCGTATGAAACCTTCGTCAGATGGATGGCAATTTGAACTTGTTAGCGAATCAATATTTTAATTTAAAATCACAAGCCTGTTGAATATAAATCTAACAGTTTTCATTTATACTTTATATTTAATTATTTTTTCTCTTTATCACAGACATTTGAAACGATTAAGTAAAGTGTTTAATATTTAAACAAGTAGAATTCTAATAAAATGAATACAATCTACTAGACCAGCGATTCTCAAAGTTTTTAGTCCGCGACCCTCATTTGGACATAAAAAGTATCTGCGACCCCCTTTTGGACATAAAAAATTTCTGCAACGCCCCCGAAGAATGGGTATATGTAGAAAAAGAAACCAGAATTGATCTGTCATTAATGTTTTGCGACCCCCTAAATATTTTACGCTACCCCCCGTGAAGAATAGCTATAATTAGCGAAATCTACTTATTTATATTTATTTATTCTATCGCTTAAAATTAAAAACTAAACTTATAATAGAGATACGCTTATCACATTTATTGAATTTAATTACCAATTAGAATCCTAATTAGAAATCTATATATAGTCATATCTCAGCTAATGTTACATCTGATAATAAAGTGATTTACATAAAAATAGTCCAATTTAAGCCTTCAAGTAAAAAGATAATATGGCTAGAAGTTTTAATAGAAGAAGAAAATAACATCGAAGAAAATATAAATTAAGTTATCCATATGGATCAGTTAAACCATAGTATATTTACTTCTGAAAACGAAGTTTTGCTTAACAAATAAATTTCGCTATTCGTTAATCGAGTTTTTTTTTTGTATTTACTTATTCTATCAACCGAAAATATCTTAGACCTTAGTTGCAGCAAATATAGCAACTATAGCCTTAAAATGAATCTTTATTCAGATGTTCTTGAATTGAATAAATTTTAATATTACATGTATAAAAAACTTTAGTACAGCAACTTTTATTGTATACATATTTTTAAAATTACATTTAAAATTATGGAATATCTTGCATTAAAATTCAACGTTGCCGAATGACTTGCTATTAATGATCTTAAATTAGTTTACATAACACTTAAGCAGTATTATATTGAGAATGTGTTTTTTTTTCTTCTTCAGATGCTCAAGAAAGTGGAAACTTAATCGAACTGAACAATCTTCGGCAATTAATAACATGTCTCTCTGCTCGTCTTGTGTTTTTTTTTTGTTCTTTTTATTTCCTTCTTTTTCGTTCCACGCCGCGTTTCGTCTTTTCCAGATTACGTAAAGTTTTTTAATAAGAATCTGGCATCTGGCCCGAATCAACCGGAGAGTGAATTCGGCTTCAATGGCAATTAAAAGCACGGGGACCCCGGCGCGCTTTCGTTTCCGGATTTAAAAGTCGCGTAATGAGAGAGGACTCGAATCACTCTGCGCGTCTGCAACACCTGCAGAGCAAGACCCTATCATAATTAAGGTGAAAAACCAATAATGAAGAAATTATAATCAGCGGAGAGATGATCGAAAATGAAAAGAGAGCAAACAAAGAAAGAAAACGAAAAAAAATGGAAAGGAGATTGCTTACTATAAGTAAATAAAAATGACGAAATCATGCAGCGACGGCGACCGGGGAAATTCGGTCGCATTCTCGAGCGTGTCGCCATCTACTTTTGCGCGTTCCGAATTAACTTTTTAATTGTTTCTTTTGCGGGCAAAATTCCTCCGGATGAATGGTGGAGAGCAAAGAGCCAGCCAGGCCTTTCTCTCTCTTGTCCTCTCCATTGCCTCTTCCTCTATATAATGTTGGGTCGGAGCTAATAAATCGCGTCGAGTAATAATAAAATAATCTCACATCGAGTGTCGAGCCGGCGAAAAACCCGGCAAAAATGAAACAATGACGGATATAAATAAGGCCCGATTGGGACATTAATAAGGGGCATTTAGGTATAGAAGAATGACATAATAAATAAGTTGGCGAGTTTCGCACACACGTACGCACATGAGCTCTAGTCGGGTGGAAAAAGGAAGGAAAAACAAAACAAAAAAAAAACAAGAAAAAAACAAAAAGAAAAACGGATGAGAGGACGAGGAAGATGCGAATAATGTGGCGAATGTCGCGGGCGCGCGAGCGAGCGCTCAGGCTCTCTTCTTGGTCTTTTGCTGTTCCTTTTCCACATTTGGTAAGGACGCGGCCGTTTGTGTCCTTTCACGGCCAAGCTCGATCGCATGGGCTGAGCGCGAGGCTCTCTGATGCTGATGCCGATGCTGGGTCCTCGTCTCGGGCACGGGCTCAAACGTAAAGCTGAGTAGGATCGAAGAAGTCGCGACCCCCCTGATCATAACATGCAAATTATGTAATTAATGACGCCAGGAACACCCACGGTCCCCGCGGGCTTCGACGCCCGCTCCTCTCCCCCTCAACTCCCTCGCCCTCTTTATCTCTCGCTAATTGCTACCGACAGCCTCCTCTTATCCTGCAGCAACCGCAAACTGGAAAGAGAGCGAACATTAATGAAATGCAAATCATATACGCACGTTGATTCAAGTTCGCTTTATTAAACCGATACGCTAATGAATGGGAACCGAGAGAAACAACAAAGTGTTCATTCAAACAACGGCGGCAACTAAATCAACCCGTTGTAAATTTGGCAACCTGAAATTGTCGTCATCATTTCGTTGTTTTTTTTTATTAATGTTCATTGTTTATCCTCGCTTATCAATAAACAATTTTAATTCGACGTCGAATATGTAGGAGGTGGCGCGCTGATCGGAAGTCACGTTTTTTCGCCGTTCCGTGGGTCTCTACGCGCGGTCATATAAGGAAGTGCCGCGACACAGAAAGTGTTCGAAATTAATAACCCACAAATAGCAAAGGATCTGATCCAAGTTTGGATTCTTAATCAAAAGTTCGGTCTATTTTCACCGAATAACAATATTTATTCATTTGTTTTTCTATGCATACTTTAGTACACATATAATGAGTAAATTCGTTAATGAGATTATGGTCTCATTAACGGGGGAAGACACATCAACTTCGATCTACTTCTCTGGATTAAAGAACAATCAATATATAAGAACCAAGAGTGAGTTACATTATATATCTACTGTCGCAATTCAAGATCTAAATATAACAAACATCACATTATATAGCGGAATATACGTAATTATTTCCTGTTCGATAGATAGAGGTGAAAACGGATTTTGAAAAAAAAAATAGAAAAATAAACTCTGTAAATGTTTACTTTAGAAACATTTACATGTAAAAATGTCAAATGGTTTTACCTTCTTAAATTATAAAATGTTTATCAAATTAGACAAAACTAAGTAATCAACTTTTAGTATAATATTAAATATTTTTTACATTATGAAACTATCGAGAATAATAATCAAATTTAGTTGCCATCAATAGAAATCTGCAGATTTAATTTTTTACATTATGAAAACTATGGAGAATAATAATCAAATTTAGTTGCCATCAATAGAAATCTGCAGATTTAATTTTAGGAAAGACTATGTTAATTAAATTTGTTTTTTTTTTAAATAATTATAACATATAATAATTATATATTTTACATACCATGACTATATAAAATGTATTCAATATTTTCATTAGTATAACAGTTGCATCTAATATTTAGAATTAAAATAAATAATCAAATCCGTACTATTTAAGATACTGCTGCACTTTTTTCTATAAACATAAGCATCTTTTTTATTTTGTAAACATAATTTCTTTAATTCCATTTACGACCATTACATTAAAAGTTTATTTAGTTTTATTATATATATACAAAAATAGGAATAAGATATGAGCATTTGAATTCGTCTATCAAGAAATAGACATTTATCAAGTTGGAAATGTATTGCTATATTTATTGTATAAATGTATATTATAACAAATAATAATATATCGACATATCATTTTAGATGTGTGTTTTGTAGTTGAAGAAGAAAATTTTATAAAAGTTAAGAATTTCATGTGTATTTAGCGGATCACGTGGACAGGTGTGCGTGTGCGTTTAAACGGTTTTGATGTGCGATTGAAGGTGGAAGACGAAGAAGAAGAGGAGGAGGAGATTGATTGATCCCGATGAGACGAGTTGCGTCGAGCGAGTGGTG